CTATCACTTTCTTTATCTATAGATTTTTTTCTATACTTCTTCATTAATTATTTGATCTATTTGATTGTCAATTAAACATAAGTAAGAGAGTGCGTATGTGTCTTCTCTGTGTGTATATGTATATATATATATATATATATATATATATATATATATATATATATATATATATACATATATACATACATATATATGTATATGTATACATATACAAATAGACACACACACACACACACACACAGATATATGTATATATATATATATATATATATATATATATATATATATATATATATGTATATATATATATATATATATATTTTTTTTTTTTTTTTTTTTTTTTTTTTTTTTTTTCAACAGCCATTCATTCCACTGCAGGACATAGACCTCTCTCAATTCAGTATTGAGAGGTTATATGACGGTGTCACCCTTGCCTGATTGAATGCCCTTCCTAATCAACCGCAGTTCGGCGCGTTAACAGTTGTGCCACGGCGGTGACTTCCCCTACGACACCTGCGTTTGACTTCTCAAGGCGATATGTCGTTTTCCGAGCTAGCAGTCAGAGCGCAGGCATTTTTACGACTGCCGCGTCGGGGAATTGAACCCGGGACCACGAGGGTCGCAGTCCAGTGCTCTAACCACTGAGCTATCGCGGCAGTCATATATATATATATATATATATATATATATATATATATATATATATATATATAGAGAGAGAGAGAGAGAGAGAGAGAGAGAGAGAGAGAGAGAGAGAGAGAGAGATAGAGAGAGAGACAGTTACACACACACGCACACACACACACGCACGCGCACACGCACACACACACACAAATATATATGTGTGTGTCTAAGACCCATTTCACACGTGGCCCATTTCGACAGACACCATGTCTCTCCCCAAGGAGGCCCGCGAATGGATCTTGAGTGTTTCCCATAACCCTTATAGCCAAAGGACTCCCTCGGGACCACTCGTAGGAGATTCTTTCCCTTACTCTACTATCGCCATACACATAATGCTACAAACTTACAAATATATATTTAATACAGCAACACCAATCTCTACACACCAAACCTTTGGTCGACACGACATCAGATGAGACATCCGCAGGCCTTCCGCCTCGTGACATCGCCCCGTTTATACGATCACTTCCTTTTCTTCACACTTCCTAAACAGCGCAGCCCTTGTGAATTTCCTAGTTCAAACTGTTTAAAAGAAGGTTGCCGGCGAGCGACATTCAGACATCCTGCAGCACGTTGACCGTATATATATATATATATATATATATATATATATATATATATATATATATATATATATATATATATATATATATTGAGAGAGAGAGAGAGAGAGAGAGAGAGAGAGAGAGAGAGAGAGAGATAGGTATATATATATATATATATATATATATATATATATATATATATATATACATATATATATACTTATATATATAAATTGTGTGTGCAAAATGTATGCATATGTATATATATATATATATATATATATATATATATATATATATATATATATATATATATACCATGATTTTTTTCTCATCAACATACAGGGAACTCATACACAGTTGTATGTACTGTACATATACTTCCCAAGCCACTCACTTCATGGAAAGAGAGGTATTGCCGCTTTTGTTCCTCCGCCCTCCACATCTCTGACCCCAAGCAGGCCTAATATAGTCAATGACCCCTAATAACTGGGCTGGGTAGAGCGATTCCTTACATCGCTTCTTCATTAAGTTTGGCTTCCCTCCACATGTTCTCAACGCCGCGTTAGCCAGGACAAGGTCTTTATAAGTAAGATCTCGTCACTGAGCTACTTAACTCCATTCGTCATGACGTCACTTGGAATAATGTTTGGGGATTTGTCGCTAACCATGAGACCACAGAGATTCCCCGTCTCTCTCCCGTCTTCGTTCGCAATACCTCATATACGTTAAGTGGTTGAATGCCATATTTGTACACTTGAGACTATGAATTTATCGTCATATAGCTGGAATATGTATAGGTATGTGTATGTACTTTAAGAGCAGTTCAGTTTATAACACGAAATAATGTTGATTTCTCACGATGAATGAAGGCAGAGGCAGCTTGGATATCCTCATTTAGTCGTCCGTCAGTATTGTTATTACATCATTGATATAACCGTATTCATCATCATTATGCTCTACGTGGTACTTATTATATTATGCTATTATTATCCTGTTTTTTGATTTTTTAAATATTCTATTTTGGCTATTCATTTGTTTCAGTATTAGCTTCAATATCCCCATTTTTATCTTATTTTACACCTATAACTTAAAGAGTCTCGCTGTTTGATAGCAAACGTTGAAATTTCCTGCAAAAGGAAAATAAGAAAAAATATATCACGAGGTTCTGATTTATTTATTTATTATCATGTAATTATTATCATTGTCATTATTATTTTATTATTATCATTATTATTATTATTTACAATTGTTATTATAATGTTATCCGGTGTACGTTGCATTTCCCGTAACAAAGAGAACTACAGATAACAAATGTGTTTTCATTCGTAGTCCTTTAAGGCATTAAAGTTTATCTACGAGGTAACCGTAAGTCTAATACAGCTTCGTAAATATCAAGGTCACTTCCAAGATAAAGTTCTACGGAGATCTGGTCAGCAATTTTTACCTTTTGCCTTCCATACAAGGTAAGATAAGTCAAAGTAAAGTAGGTGTGTAAGATATTTATATTTGAGTGTGATATTGTAATAACCTGTTTAATTACATATAAAAAACAATTATTTCTTTGTATTAGATATATCAGCAGTGGGACAATTACCCCCACTAAATCACAATATGCTACTAGTTCATTAACAGATTTTATTCTAGAATCACAATTTGCAAGCAGATGAAACATCGGTGGTTTTCTACGTTAAAGACATACTAGGAACTGAATGTTTTATAGAGAGCAAGGTTAAGACATCACACTCTCGAGGTATTCTGAAATGCCCGAGAAATTTCCATCCTTGAGCTATGGCATTGGACTTTCTTTCGTCAGTGTAGATGTTCGTTAGAGGTTCCATAGTAAAGGCCTGTGACGTCACTGATAACGACATAGGATCCCCGTGTTTACCTGCGACACCACTTACAACTTGTGCCCTCAAGTTGGCCTCAATAATAGCATTGCAATATATATGGCAACTTTCTCCTGGTTACATAGTATTCACAGAAAACATACTGGAGCACAAGGCGGCGAAAAAATTCTTGGAGTATCAACAAATCATGGTCATAAAATCGAGTAATTACATTTTAAAGGGAGTTGGATATAATCTACACACACACACACACACACACACACACACACACACACACACACACACACACACACACACACACACACACACACACACATATGTAAGACCTTCTCCAGACACTTTACTCTGGACACTGCACACTGCAGAGGGATTATTAATGGAGGGATTATTAATGGAACATGGCAAGAGTATTCAATCCCTCTCTCTTCCTTATATGATGCCAGTGCACCATAACCCTGGGATTGTTAAAAGAATATAACCCTGAATTTCATCCCACCCCCTTCTTAAATGAATCATAAACCTGGAAGACACTGAACATCGTTTGTCATGAACAAAAACCGGCCACGTAACGATGAAATCATCTATTACTCTGAACGGAAACGAATTCTCGGATACACATTTAGCGAACAGTGATAAAGATGTCTTGCTTCCTCGGGGTGTGGAACATTGGCACCGCGGGATCAGCTGTGACGTCCACAGTGGAGCCTGGTGGGGGGGCGAAGCTGAGACTCTGAAGCATCGCGGTGGCGAAGATGAGGAGCTCCATGCGGGCCAGGGACTCTCCGAGGCAGACTCTCTTGCCTGCGAGTATAACAACCCTTGTCAGATCTTCAGTGGAACATGAATAACTTTAAAACGCAAATTAGTTTATAGATTATTTAAATGAAGGAAATGGTTTCGCTACCAATTTGCATACAACTTGCTGAACAACTTGAGTGTATAAACGAAAGTAATGGTATCGTTACAAATTTCACAAAAGTAGAAATACAACATGTCAAATCCTCAAAGAAATATAAATAAATCCAAAGAATGTATAAATGAAAGAAGTGTCATCAATCAACAAGATGTCAGAAGAGAGAGTGAGAGAGAGAGAGAGAGAGAGAGAGAGAGAGAGAGAGAGAGAGAGAGAGAGAGAGAGAGAGAGAGAGAGAGAGAGAGAGAGAGAGAGAGAAGAGAGAGAGAGAAGAGAGAGAGAGAGAGAGAGAGAGAGAGAGAGAGAGAGAGAGAGAGAGAGAGAGAGAGAGAGAGAGAGAGAGAGAGAGAGAGAGAGAGAGAGAGAAGGAAAGAGAGAGGGAGAGAAAATTCACCAAAACTAAACTTCCGACAGCAGCATCACGCACCTGAACCGAAGGGCATGAACCCTTCCTTCTTCGCGGTGAATTTCCCGTTCTCGTCGAGCCAGCGTTCGGGCTTCAGTGCCTCCGGCTTCTCCCAGTACCTCGGGTCACTGTGCATAAATACTGCTGACGTGGAGATGATCGCCCCCTGGTGACAGATGAGTCCCTCTTAAGTCACAATTCTTGTCGTATTCTAGTGTGTAAATCCTCCCCCTTTAAGTAGGAGCGGTAATTGGATTTATATCTGTTACAGGATTTAGATAAGATAAACTAGATTTCTCTGGTCCTTGTTGTTTCCCAGTGCGTAAATGTTCTCATGTTTAGTACGAGTGGTTGTTAGAATACGGGTAAGATAAAAATGTTAAAGATCGTCAAGACTTCTCTGACCTAGCGCTATCTGACCTGGCGTTATTTTAAGTTATCTTAGAACACCCAAGTGTCACCCCGACTCAACAATGGAATCCTTATTTGCTAGTTTTCAATCAAGTCTTGAATTCTTTACAGAAAAAAATACTCGAATTACCCCTGGCGATAGTATCATCGGTTTTCCAAAGACCGAGTGGATAACACAGAAATCCTATACAAAAGAGCGCATAAAAAAGTTGTACCTTTGGAATGTAATATCCTCCCAGCTGCGTGTCTGTAACAGTGCTGTGTTGAGCTCCAACGGGAAGGAGGGAAGACAAACGAAGAATTTCATGAAGTACTGCCTCGGTGTATGGCAACCTGAGAATAAAAGGCAAGATTGAAAAACACACGCATACACAACAATATGTATATATATAAATATAAGATTCAGTTCTGGTTCTTCTGTAACATGCAATAGAGACTGAGAAATAACACTGATATCAGTACTTCGCGTTACCTCACCTCGGTTTGTCTTCGAGCGTAGCTAGGGTACCTTTAGGCAGTACTTGGTCTATCTCTTCTTGCATCGTCTTCTGAATGTCAGGGTTCATGGCCAGGTATTGGATCATGAAGGTGAGCGTGTTCGTGGTCGTCTCACTCCCGGCAAAGAACAAATCGAGGACCAGGAGACCCAAATCTCTTTCTGGAAGGAAATCGGTTTAATATGTCTTTGGCTATCCTCCATTCAGACGTCATGATTTCGTTCTTTGTTTGGTCTCGGTATTAATATACCTTCACGTTAATAAAAAAACAACAACTTCATACCATATTCACATTAGTCCTATACATCTTTACACTAAAAAAAGAGAAGAAGAAGAAGAAGAAGAAGCTCTATTAACATCGAAATTCCAACCAAAATATCACCAGCAACTCACCGCTGCGAATGACATCCGGACTCTCACTGCCTTCCTTCATCTCCAAAAGGTAAGCATCGATGAGATCTCCTGGGTTATTGGGGTCAAGGGATGCCTTGTGTTCAGTAACCACTTCCTGTTGCATTGGTAGAGGAAGAAAAATAGGAATAAAAACAATTAATTAAAAAAAGGGAAGAAAACAGTAATTAAATATATGACTGGATGTATAGATATATTAATAAATATATGGGTAAGTAATTATACTGATAGATCAATAAATAAATAAATGGATAGATAAACAGTAAGCAAGTAAGTAGGTAGGTAAGTAATGAAGTAAATTAATAAAACAAACAAATAATAAAATAATAAATAAATACGTAAACAAAGAAATAAAAATATAATAAACAAATACGTAAACAAACAAATAAAATAATAAATGAACAATGAATAAATATACCCATAAATTGAAAAATAAATAAAACCCCCTCCAAATGTAGTCTACAAAACTATACAACAATAAATATCTATTTTTTTTTCATAATTACTTTCTAGAATCATAATCTCGACACTCCTCACTACTTACATCAAAGTAATTGAGGAATTTATCTTTAAATCCCTCAATGATATTCATACTGAAGAAAAGATCCTGGAAATATTTGGGCAAATACTTCAAAACTGGGAAGAAATCACGCACACCCAGCGCGAAGGTTGCAGCGTTCAGATCTTGCAGGAGTTGATCAAATTCGATCAGTCTCTTATCCTCCATTTCGAACATTTTACCTTGTGGGGAATAGAATTGACAAAGAATAATCGACTGTCGTTTCTTGGTTTTCCTTAAAAAAAATGGTCGTGTTACACTTTTCGACCAATGGCGAAAAATGAGAGAGAGAGAGAGAGAGAGAGAGAGAGAGAGAGAGAGAGAGAGAGAGAGAGAGAGAGAGAGAGAGAGAGAGAGAGAGAGAGAGAGAGAGAGAGAGAGAGAGAGAGCACAGAAACACACAAACACACAAAAAATAGAAACAATGACAGTGTGACACTCCATTCGTGACACTTGTCTTAGAAACAAGTACACCTAAGAAGTCAGATGACGCGGCATTTATTTTTACATTTTTGTTTTAACCTCCTAAAGAGATTTGCCGCCCACAGAGCAAGTAAAACAAGGTTATTATGAATAGGAAAACAGCCACAGCAAGAAAAAGAATGAAATTATTGTTATTGTTATTGTTATAGTTATTATTATTATTATTATTATTATTATTATTATTATTATTATCATTATTATTATTATTATCATTATCATTATTGCTATTACTATTATCATTAAAAATGTTACCATTTTTTATAATAATAATAATAATAATAATAATAATAATAATAGCAACAATAATAATAATAATTATCATTATTGCTATTACTATTATTATCAATGATGTTATCAATATTATTAATATTATTATTATTATTATCATTATTATCATCATTATTATCGTTATTGTTATCATTATTATTGTTTATTAATTAATTTATTCTTCTTTTGCCGATTTAACCGCCGTGGCCAAGGAAAAATCTGGAATTTTACAGTAAATCTACTATCCCGCTTAAAAGTATTTTGCGACTACCTGCATAAAGGTTTTAATGACTGACTTTGAGGAGATCTGTCTACCGATGACGTTGAAAATGCAACAAAAGCACAAAATCTTACGTACTCAAAAAATCAGTCTCTCTTTAGATACACCGAATTTGATTCAGGTTTAACATTCATTCTACGCAGTATAACCATAGAACCAAAATACATAACATAAAATTTTACACAGCATAACAGAAACAAAATCCATTCATCGTCAACGTACCTGCCACCATCTGCCAGATAACGTTAACGATGGACACCTTCAAAGCATGAGGAACTGGTGCTGGTTTGTTTGCTTGCGCTTTCAAAATTTCGACCAGCTTGACTGCCTGCTCTTGAATTCCTGCCACTAGCTTGGATTTGCCCATTCCTAGGTCCCTTAGCTGTCGAAGGGCGAAGCGGCGGTTAGCATGCCAGTGGGCACCGTTGCTTGAGCCAACACCTACGGGAGAGAACGTATGTGTTATATAAATGTATGTGTTATAAGTCCGGGTGTATTTGTGTGCGTGTGTTTATACTAACACGGAGTTGTCGATAGTTCTAAATTCTAAACACAAGTACTACTACGTGCAATAAGGTTTCTAGGAAATAAAATACTGTTATATTCGGTATCTGCTAACAGGTATGATCCTCATGTAACTATGCTGGTTATTTATATCACATCTAGTGTATATGTCGCTAATCATTTTATTTACATGTTCTTGTGTACAAAAATGCTATCATAGGTTTTAATGCACCTTTAACTCGATAACTACAATTAAAAAAAAATAGTTTGGGGCAACCATAAACTGAAACATTCGCTATAAGGATAATAAAGTCACACTGTCATTATATACAGGGTCCGTGGGGAGAAGGAAGGCTTCAGTCCCCTTTGCTGAGAATGAAAATAATGAATTAAAGAGACAGTGGAATTGAGTGAGTCTCTCCTTAAAATCACCCTTCTGAATAAAGGTCCTCTCAGATCATTTATATTTTTTCTCTGTTCACTACCAGAGGCTGCATCTAAATCATCTGAAATTATCATTTGGCATTTGAGAATATACCCTTCATTTTTTTATGCAACAGAAAATATTATCTATATATACTTATAAACATATGAGTAACGTATATAATGAGGGTCATTCTGATTTCATCGAAGTAGCGGTAAGGCATCTTTTAAGCCTAGAAAGACCTCTTTTAAGCCTAAAACAATTAATACAGCTTTCCTATATACTTGTTTTGCTCCGCTGTAATGTCATTAGACGTGTATGAACCATTCGTGGAAAGCAGAATAAAGTATCTATAGAAATGAAATCTGTAGGCATACCTTCCTATGGACTCCTTCCATTTAATAATACTCGCTACCTGATGAAAATTTCACTTCGCATCACGTCATACTTCATATTTCTTACTCATCTTCTCTTTATCTATCCACATTCACAAATCAGAACTAATTCAAACCTGACGATCACGGAACCTCAAATTACCTTTCATTTCCCACGCCACAATTAGCTAAAAGTAAAAACAAAAACAAACAAACAAACAAACAAAAAAAAACTCCCCTTAAAAAATAAAATAATAAAAATAAAAAAATAAAAATCAAAACAAAAATTCATATCATAAGCACTTACCTAAAGGAAAATCTTCCAGGAACTTGAACATCTCCCAGTCCGGTCGATTAGCGAAGTCAGACCTCCCCATAGCTTCCTTCCCGAGCTGGTAGTCCGAGATAAAGATCATCAGTTGATTCCCCATTCGCCATCTGTGGGTAAACTTCAGTCCGTAAGATGAAGAAGAAAAGGGAAAAGAAGGAGAAAGTGGAGAAGGAAAAGGAAAAGAAGAAGAAAGTGGATAATGAAAGGGAAAAGGACAAGAAAAGAAAAAAGGAAGGAAAGATGAGAAGAGGAAAAGAAGAAAAGAAGAATAAAAGAGAATGAGATAAGAAAAGAAAAAAAAGGAAAAGAAATAGAGAGGAAAAGAAAAATAGGAAAAAAGAAAAACAGAAAAAAAGAAAAAAAACAAGAAAAAGAAAAAAGAAAAAGAAAAGAAAGGAAAAAGAAAGAAACAGAAAAAAAGTCATGCAATATCATGAAATCCCTTCGTTTATCTTGAATTTCGTTTCTTTTTTTTCTAATTCATTGCATGGGATTTATTAATTTGGCGTCTTTGATTAAGAAAAGGAAGATAGGAGTAGCGTTTTGTATTGATAACTATTTACTTGACACTTATATTTGATCAATATTTTGCTGAGTGTTAAGCGTTATTATATATAATGTTATTATCTAATATATTATATTACATATATATATATATATATATATATATATATATATATATATATATATATATATATATATATATATATATATATATATATATATATATATATATATATATATATATATACATATAATTACAGTGACACCATACATAATAGTTCTAACTGTGGATCACTGCTTTGCATAAAAAGCATAAACAAAAAAAAACAAAAAAACTTTTATGGCGTCAGCAAGAAAGTGAAAAACGACAACTTACAAGAAGATGTTGCCATGCTTTTTGTGAAGATCGAGAATCTGTTCTTCCATAGATTTTCTGGTCAGAGGAATGTAACCAAGCACGGGCAGACCCCAGCGGCCTGTTTGGGAGAATATTATCTTTATCACTGTGTGTGAATTTACTGTTCTCAATGTAATAGTGATTTTCCTCTCTCTCT